TCAGTTTGAAGTGATCAAGGCACCCCAGGCCAAGTTGGCTCAGTTGCAGGCTCAGGTGTTTTGCCTGCGACTGGTACTTGCTGCAGGCTTCACTGAAAAAGTTCTGAAAGGAGAGTTGCGCATCTGTTCTGATGCCAAGGATTTGAATCTCATCGGTGACACCTACCTGAGTATCACAAACTGTTTGTGCCAGATGCCGCTGTTGGACGTCACAATGAATTGGGAGAACCATGGGTTTTTTGGAACGGCTGCGAATTTATGCCGCCACTGGGTCGCAAAAGTGTCCGCAGCTCTGGCAACGGCATCGATTCCAGCACATGTTGAGCAAAGCGCAAAGACGTCATCAACAAACTGGGTCAAGTCAGTGTTGCTTTTTGCTAAAATGTCTAGGGCCAAGAGGCGATCGCCTGCACTTCCGTCTGGGGCACCAGGCCGCGTCCAGGGCGCGGATGAGCGGGCAGTGATGGCTGCAGCCACACTACGTGAGACCAGGTGGATTTGTGTGAAATCCACTGGCTGCGCCAGTGCAGTCCATGGTGGCTGTCCCGCGAACGCTGCCTCCACTTCCAATGCTGTAAGGCCTAAACCAACTCCTATATGGGTAGCAGCGGTGTCAACAAGTTCACGGGTTAGGGACCCAAAAAGGTGAACCGCTGCTCTCTTGCCTTGCCCTACTGCAAACTCTGTGAGTCGTCTGACAGGTCCGACGAGGTGTGAGAGGCGCACCCTAAATTTGTCACTGCTGAAAGAGGCGTCCACATGCAGCCAGGCCTTACCCCGCACCCCTGCCTGCCACAGATGATATAGGCACCCATTTCGCCATGTGAGGTCAAACCCTTGGAGGAGGTCAGCCTTGAAGACCAGAGTTGGGAGGCCGTGGCCTTTACGTTGCTGCGCTGCCACAATGGTGCCTAGGGCCTAGGGCCGTAACTACTGCATCAACAATGCCCCCATGCTGCTGCGGTCCCATGTAAGCCTCAATGCTGGAGCGTGTCTTTTGAAGCCACACTGCGTCCATGACGCTTTCCACTTCATCTACATAGGAAATAGGCCTCAGATTAGCTAGGTCTCGTACGCAAGTGGGTCCTCGCTTTCGGACAGGCGCAACTGCCCGAATCCAGGTTGAGGGGATAAGGCCAATGGCAGCAGCAAGGTTGATGATTGCCCACAAAGATGTCGTGCTCGCCTCCGTCCCAAACCTGGCCGCAGCTCTTGGAAGCCGCAACGAAGCTTTGCACGTGAGCATGCTGTGACAACAAGACCGCACGTGGTCCAATGTCGCAAACTCTGTGAGGTCATCTCCTGCTTCCGCTAGTGCCTGAGCGCGGTAGGCACTAATTTGCTGCTCCACCTGGCGTTGGAATAGAGGGTCAGCTGGGGGAGGTATCACATCACTGCGGCCTGCGATGTTGTCTGCTACGGCCTCAAGTTCTTCAGCAGGGTCGAGGGGGTGGTGGTCTAAGGGATGCCTAAGGTCAAGTCGAAGAGCTTCCTTTGGTTTCAGGAAAGAAGAAAGAAATTTCTGAGCACCTGCAGGGTCAACAGCGGAAAGGTTATGGAGTTTAGACAAAGCTTGGTAAAAAAAGTTGCTCATTGATAATTGATTGATGAGGACGTCCATCCGGGTCAGCAGTTTGGACAGTGTCAAAGAACTTGGCAAGCCACTGAACGTTCTCAGAGCGCGCAGGTTGTGGACTTGTCCAAGTAATTCTTGCCAGTCCAGCCAGGTGTCCTGCTATGGCCATGAGAACTTCCCGCCACCAAACAATTGTGTCCAGGATGCGCTGTCGGAGTCGCCTATGCGAACCGGTTTTGACCCAGTTTAACATCTGTGTCCAGCTTGCGAGGAAAACTGCCAAGTCTGCAACGCACCTTAGGGAACAGGCGACACCGTCTAAGGCAAGGTTCCAGTGATCTCCACCATCCCATCTTGCCGTCGCCTTTTTCTGTATGTTTGTAGTTAGGACACGCTCTGTTGGTGACAGGGCCACAACAGGGTAGTGGTCGCTCACAAGGAGGACGTCCTGGAGGTCAATGCGTGCAAAGTCAAGTTGCCATTCTGCCGTCACAAGCACAGAGTCCAGTGTCGACCCAGACACGTGTGTCGGCTGCTCTGGCGGATTTAGGACCGCTAGATTGAATCCATGGTGGCCGATTAGGAGTTGCCACAACTCCCTATCAATGGGTCTTGCAAGTTCAGCATCTTTCGAGGTGAGGTCCGGGTTGTGAAGGTTAAAGTCACCAAGGAAAATAGCAGGGCACTGACAGTAGCGAGGATCACCTCGTAAGGTCTGCCATTCCAACCAACGTGTGTGCCAGAACCCTCTTCTTTCAGCGTCCAGATGATTTGGCGGGTTTGCATACACTGCTAGACCAAGAAGGGTCCTGGTCTGTGCCTCAGTATCCGCGTCATTGCCTACGACTTCCACTTCAAACCAGAGCGCTCGCTCATCACCTATAGTGTCTAATGGCCTAACCTTCGGCGCAATTTCTCGGGAGACGAGTAATGCAACTGTGCGGGGCTCCATTATTCTTGCTCCAAAGTACTCATAACCAGTCCACGCCGGACATCAATGAAGGCGAGAGCATCTTGGCAGGATTTGCAGGGATTCGTCAGGCATTGTGCCTAAACTGAAAAGATGGCATGAGAAAAGGCGGAACCATTCGGGTGAGCAATTTCTGTCCAAACTGTACGACTGCTCTACACAAAAGCGCAGGTGCGCTTTTTCACTGTGGAGGCTGGGTGCCTGTTTATCATGCTGCGGAAGCAGGCCGGGATTTAAGAAAAATTCGCTTTGGAGGCCACACTCGATGTTTGTTGCTGTGGAGTCTCAGGCTTACTCACTCACTGGTTTGTCGGCTGTCTGGACAGAGGTGCCAGCATAACAAAAAGCACCCCACCACCAGAAAAACACAAGTTCCTCCTCCTCCACCTCCACCACCGCCTGCGCCTCTTACTGCTCCTCCCACTTCTCCTCGTGGTGGAGTGATGCTCTCTCAAGCGGAGAATCCCCACCATTGCGTCCAAAATCACTCAAAAAAAGGTGCGCTTACGCGGAACATCCTTAGAGGAGGTGCCTCTAGGCAGCTCAGAAGCAGCCCGAGCCTTCATAGAAACAAAAAAACCGCGCGACATCAACAGCAAAACCAGAACCCCCCCCTAAGCCTCTATAGGGAAATCTACACCTGGGGTTTACAGGCATAAGTAGCCCTACAAAAACTAATGCGCCCAATATAATACCATTATATCCAAGAAACCCTTTTTAACCCCAAACCCTAGATCCTAANNCCTAAAACCCTAAACCCTCTTCTGCACATCTCTGCTGCTGAGTGCCTCGGCACCGACATCATAGTCCGCAAGAGCCCAAGCCTTAACGTTCTAGGTTATATCGGGATGGTGGAAGATGTATATAGGAGCATTATGGAAACCTTTTCAGGATTAACTGCGGGTTCAGGGATTAGGATTCAGGGTTTTGGGTTTGGCGTGCTCCGTGTTACTGAGCCCCTATACCCGCCCTGTACTAAGGATCAAACACTTTGCGGAAATATGACATGGACCCCTCGGAAGAGAAATCTGTAGCAATTTAGGCAGAGGCTCTGTAGAGTCATTGGTCCATTTTGGACAAACCTCTAAGAGTGGAGGAAACAGAAGCGAAACATGATTACTAATCCGTTCCAGAAGCACTGCTGTAGACGTGCTGTTGGACTGGGCTCCCATTCCGTCAAGAAGATGTCGACCTGAACGCATCAAATTTGGGCATGTGCTGAGACACATGCCCTTACATGAACTGCGTGCTTTAAGGTTCCAACAAAGGGGTCCAAGCATTTTTTCGGACTGCATGGAAACTCGTTTTGGGCCCATCCAGCGAAGCTAACGCTCGCTGCTTCAAATCTCCCAGCGTTTCCTCAGCTACGAAGAGGACTCTGGTTACCTCAAACCAGAACAAGAAACCTCTACTTTCACGTCATCACTTTTTGGGAGCTCTCATTCTTGGAGTTGAGATTCCCAGAATCCTGTCATGTTCCTCTCTGCAACTGCTACGGCAGGGACTGAAGGATTACACTAATCTCATTTTGGGTGTCCCAGGCTGCAGTTAGGGTGTAAGGTGTAGGATTTAGNNGTTTAGGATTTAAGGTTTAGGCTTGTCCAAAAAAGGATTATTCCAGGTTTCGAGGGAACGGTATCAGGCTCTTATCTTCCGCTGCTGCCGCCACCTGCTGATGTCAAATGTCGCTGCTCGGCAACAAAGCTTGAAGAGCAGACTATGCAACTTCCGACTCCTGCTGCCATCACAATACCAAGCGAACACTTGCGACAAGATTTGTCATGTCACTTCTAACACTCATGCGGCACCACCGCCACCACGGCCACCACG